TTTCTTATCATTCGTGTGTTCACTGGAGTGGTGCTTTTAATTTCCTTCAAGAATTTTTCCTGGCTGGTCCGAAGGTAGTGAGTTATCTCACTTGATTGTCACAGTCAGTTACAGATTGAACTCCTTGTTCTACTCTTTTCCCGCTTCTCACTACTGCACTTGACTAGTCTTAAAATAAATAAATAAATAAAAAATGTGAAAAGAAGTTTTCCTTTGGGTTTACAACTTGGCTAGCAGTTTTGTACAAGAGGCCTAGCTTTCTGCCTGTTTTGGCTTTGGCCCTGTCTTCCTCACTGGGCTTAATCATCTCTAGCTTTTGACTTAATGTGGGGGATGGGAAACTCTTCCTTCCGCTTGAACATTTAGACACCACTGTAGGGCTATTAATTGGCCTAATTTCAATCTTGTTGTGTCTCAGGAATGGGGGGACCTGGAGAGATGGGGGAGCGGCTGTCACTGGAGCAGTCAGAACACACACATTTATTAAGTTCACCATCTTATTTGGGTGCAGTTCTTCAGGTCCCCAAGCAATGACAATGGTACTGTCAAAGATCACCGATCAGAGATCACCGGAACAGATGTAATAATGAAAAAGTCTGGAATATGGCAAGAATTACCAAAGTGTGGCACAGAGACATGAAGCGAGCACCTGCTGTTGGAAAAATGTCATTGACAGACTTGCTCTATGCACGGTTGCCACAAATCTTCAATTCGTAAAAAATGCAGTATCTGCAAACTCCAATGAAATGAAGCGCCATGAAACAAGCTACGGGTACCTGTACCACAGTGTGTTTCGCTTTCATCCGCTGGCGGACACTGGGGTTGCTTCCACCTTCTGGCCGTTGTGAACCCAGGCATGCAAACATCTCTGAGACCCTACTTACATTTATTTTTTTCTTTTTTCTGTTTTTTAGTAGAGATGGGGTCTCGATCTTGCTCAGGCTGGTCTCGAACTCCTGACCTCAAGTGATCCTCCCCCCTTGGCCTCCCAGAGTGCTTGGATTACAGCCGTGAGCCACGGCGTCTGAACCTAGACCCTACTTTCAATGCTTTGGGATATAATATACACAGAAGTTAAACTACTGGCTCATGTCGTAATTCTATTTTTAATATTTTGAGAAAGAGATAACTTTTTCTTTACCAGCAGACCCAGCAGCTGCCCTAAAACCCAGAAATTACACAGAAGTTTCTGTAATGCCTGCGGAACAGAGCCTGACCCCGTTACCAGAACCGGCCCCACTTCCTTCCCTCTGCGGAGCTGTGATTCCTTCCGGAGGGCAGCATCTGGCACACTGTGCAGGTGTGCAGCTCTGCCGGTCCCAGTTTGCCGCAGGGACAGGGGCAAAAGCTCTCTGTGCTCAAACGCACTTCCCCAGGCCCAAGGTCCATGGTTTCGGGTTGTGTTCCAGCTCTGCTCCTCTCCCACCTTGAGACCTGGGCTGTCCCCAGGCCTGAGCAGCTCCTGCCCGCCCCTCAGCTGCCTCCCCTACCAATCCTGGCCCCTGCAAGATGGGTCTTGCCCCCCCATGTCTTCCCTGTGGCCCTGGGGCTGGACTGTGGGAGCTTCTCAGGCCTCCACTTCTTACCCCTCCCGCCTCACCTCACCCCCCATCTTCCTTCTTATTTTCCTCCCACAGGGGTGGGGAGGTGGGGGCCGGCAGGGGGGCATGGGGAGGGAAGGGGTAAAAGGCCCTTAGTCTGACCCTGGTTCAAGACCAAGAGGAGCTGAAGCTATAATAACTTTCCCACCACACGGGAGCACGAGCCAGTCCTAGAGGGTGTGCGTCCGGACAAGCCGCCTCCTTGAGGATAGACATGTGTTGAGCACCTTTCCCCAAAAGTGACCAGTTTTTCCCTCAGTGAAAATCTGCAAGGGGAGGGAGCAACCCTCCCAGATGACCCCACAATTGTCTCCGGGGATCATTGGCAGGGAGCTGTTTAGACTGTTTTTATTAATGTAAAAATACTCAAACCATGTTATGGAAAATCTAGAAAACAGATAAAGACAATACATGGCCTTTTGTCATCATCGTCCCAGGAGCTGTGAGCAGTTCTGTTTTCGTCCTGCGAGTTGTCCTCCGTACTTTCTTGGCACTGTGGTCATTATGATTCACGGTGCCAGGAAGCCACTGGGCACGGGAGGGATTTTGCTGTCCCATGGAGAGAGCAGCTCGATGACAACGTCACGCACCCACAGGCTGGGCGTGTATATGCTCTGGTGGGCACCCTGGTTGCCCAGAGGTAGCATCTCATGACAAACTGCTTTGGGGCTTATGCAAGGGCAGCCACCAAGGCTCCTGCCAATGAGGAAGAGGACGTCAGAAGCATCAGGCTGCGGGGACACAGAGGACTCCCGGCCAGCACGCAGAGGTTCAGTTGTGTGTTGGGACCTCCGCACTCGCCCTCGGGAAGGTGGGTGCTCTCCACGTCCCTCCCACACCGGTTTTGACCCTGCTGGCTGCTGGCGTGTTTTCCACCGCTTTGGGCGGATGTGTCACACTGGTGGACATTTTAGTGGACAGCAGGACACTGTAACAACCACCACCCAGTGTTGCATCAATGGCAGGCCCTTCCCCTCCTCTAAGAGGGGGTAACACAGGACACGGGGGAAGGCCACCTTTGACCTTGTAAGTTGCTAAAAATACACCAAGTCAAGTGGCATGTATGGGAGTGCGTGGTGCCCAAGCAGCAGGTGAGGGCCCAGCCCCATGCTGTCACCCTGCTGCAGTGAGCCGCTGCCACCTGCTGCCCAGAGGAGGTCCTGAGCTGTCTACCTCCAGACTCCAAAACCCAACAGAGACAGGCTTATGAAACCAGGAACTCCAGCTCTCAGCGGTCGCAGGCACCCTCCTCACAGCTGCTAACTCTCCGGGCCTTCACCCTGCTGCCCGCCCTGGGAACCTGAGCTTCCTTCTCCCACCCCACTCAGCTCCTGCGGAGCCAGGGAAGAGCCCAGGCTGGTGCTTGCAGCCTGGGGAAGTAGAAAGGGCTCAACCCACAGGCTGGGTTTGAATATGGTTCCTCCATTTACATGTTGTGCAACCGAAAGAGAGACAGTTTCCCAGTCAGAGTCTATTTCCTAAAATAGAAAGCGGGTGTTGGGAGAAGTAAATGAGATCTTCTCTTGTTAGAGGCACAGATGGCCCTTGAGAAATAATAATGTAATGATAGTAGGTATTGAACATTTGGCATGCGCCCGTGCCTGTGTTACACTATCATGTTTACCAACATCCCAGCTCCTGCCAGTCCCCATTGCACAGAGGAGACGGAGGCTCAGAGAGGTTAAGTAACTTGCCCAAGGTCACACAGCTAAGAAGTGGTGGAGCCAGGATTTGAGCCCGGCTTTATTTATCTCCAAAGCCTATCTTTTTTCTTTTCTTTCTTTTTTCTTCTTTTTTTTTTTTTTTTGAGACAAGGTCTTGCACTGTCACCCAGGCTGGGGCGACAGTAGCATGATCAGATCATAGCTCATTGCAGCCTCAAACTCCTGGGCTCAAGGGATTCTCCTGCCTCAATCTCCTGAGTAGCTGGGACCACAGGTGTGCACCTCCACATCAGGCTAATTTTTTTGTTTTCTTTAATCTTTTGTAGAGATGAGGTCTTATTGTGGTACCCAGGCTAAAAGCCTATCTTTTATTCTTCATCCTCTACTGTACTTCTAGGCAAAAGTGGGCTGGGCAGAAATCCGGCACGCTTACTGTGCTGCTGAAACCCATGGGAAAGAGATAAAGGATCGCCGTTTTCTAGTCAGGCATGGTGGTGCACGCCTGTAGTCCCGGCTACTCGGGAGGCTGAGGCAGGAGGAGCACTTGAGCCTAGGAGCTCAAGACCAGCCTGGGCAAGATCCCATGTCTAAAAAAATAAAAGAAGTTAGCCGGGTGTGGTGGTGGACACCTACAGTTTCTTTTATTTTAAACTATTTAAAACTTTTGTTATTATTTCTGTTTAAAAGACTGCTACTACTTTTATAGTGACCAAAAAAACTAAGTAAAGCATTTTGCATAATATCTGTATCATCTCATTTAATCCTTACAATCTGCTGAGAAAAGATTTTTTTCCCTATTTTACAGAGGGGGAAACTGAGGCTCAGAAAATTGAAGTGATTTGCCTAAAGTCATATAACAAGCAAGAGGAGGAGCTGGGATTTGAACCCATGTTGGTTTGACTCCTGAGGCACAGGGAAATGGGCTAGCCTTATGCCAGCCCTGTGGGGTTGGGAGAAGTGGTTGGTCTGTCTCCTAAGCAGATTTCTCTTTCGCCCAAGGAAGAATTCTTTTTTTTTTTAATTATAGTGATTTGCCTAAAGTCATATAACAAGCAAGAGGAGGAGCTGGGATTTGAACCCATGTTGGTTTGACTCCTGAGGCACAGGGAAATGGCTAGCCTTATACCAGCCCTGTGGGGTTGGGAGAAGTGGTTGGTCTCTCTCCTAAGCAGATTTCTTTTTCGCCCAAGGAAGAATTTTTTTTTTTAATTATTCAAATTTTTTAACTTTTTTCTGTTTTTTTTTAAATTTAAATATATGGAACCCTTCACAAATTTGCGTGCCATCCTTGCGCTGGGGCCATGCTAATCTTCTCTATATCCTTCCAATTTTAGTATGTGTGCTGCCAAAGCGAGCACGGAAGAATTCTTAACTAGAATTGTCCAAAGGATATGGGAGTCCTGGAATGGTAATGAGTTCCCCTTCACTAGGAAGTGTCCAAGTAGAGGACCAAGCGTGTCCTGGAGGAGACATTCAGGAGAGGTGACACTACATCTTCCTCCCCAGACCCAAAGGACAGGGCTGTGTCTCTCCTGTGAGACCAGAACTACACTAGGTGGCCGGTTCTCTGGTTCTGACTGGCAACACTGGGAGGGGGGCGTCTGCGCTTCTCTTTCCACTTTACCGCCGTCCTTCCCCCAGGGGACCCGCGGGGCTTGAGCGGGGCGGGGCCTCTGCTAGGAGGGGCGGGGCTTCGTGGGCTCCCGCGGGCGGGCGGCGTCCGGGCGCTCAGTCTGCGCACGGTGAGCGGCGGGACCATGGAGGCCGTGCCGCTGCAGGACTTCGTGCGCGCCCTGGACCCCGCCTCCCTCCCTCGCGTGCTACGGGTCTGCTCCGGGGTCTACTTCGAAGGTGAGTAGGGGCCGGGCCCCCTGCGAGCGCGTCCCCGCCGCGGCCGAGCTGTCCCCAGGTGTGGGGCGCGGGCAGATGCGCAGCGAGGCGTTGGAAACCGGGGGGACTGCGCGGCGGGTTCAGATCCCGACGCCGCCACTGCCCGAGCTGAGATTTGGGGCCACCTCTACCTCTCTGGACCTCGGCCTGTGCTTCCGTGGAATGGGGGATCGCTGACCTGCCCCGCAGCGGGGTGGCGCAAGGTCTGTGAGTTCGGGCGCGGAACGGGGCTGCAACCGAGCCAAGCCGGGTGGAACCGCGTGCGCATGGATGGAGCTCTGCCTGTGCGGGCGGCGCGGCCGTGGGGCCCTCTCGATCGCTGCCATCGCTTGATTCTCAAGTGCCAGAGCTGCCTTCCCATTGCTGTGCCCTCCCACTCCTCCCCGCGACCCTTGTCTACACCGCCTTCCTTCAGTCCCTCATCTCGCCTTGGCCCTCTGCTGGCCCATGGACAGCCTCGATCTGATCAGCTCTTCAGTTCTCAGCTTAAATGGCTCTTCCTCCGGGAAGCCTTCCCGGTTCTCTGCTCCTTGCACTCCCGCACAGCTGCACCTTCCCACAGTCCCCCTGGTTCACAGGGATGGGTACGCAGCAAGGCCACAGTCACTGGTTATTGCCCCAGAGAGCAAGAGGTGAGGGAATGACAAGTCGTGGCAAGGAGAGGATGGCAGCACAGGGGCGGGTGCCAGGGCTGCTCTGTGGGGAGTGGGGACCGTCAAGTCTGGAGGCGGAGGTGGCAGAGAAAGGGAAGCGGGAGCTGCTGCATGCGGGTTCCTTCCTTAGAGCAGATTTAGGCATGAGGGCCCTGCCCTGCCCTGCTTCCTCCTGGAGGAAAACTTGCTCTGCCACGCAGCTTCCAGCAGGGTGTTTGGGGTCCCAGGTGGGGTCCTAGACCAAGGCTGAGAGACACAGAGAGAAGTAGGGGCCACCACCTCCCAGTAGTCCACTTAGGAATCTGACAGATCTGGGTTCAAATTCTGACTCTACCTCTGGGGGCTTCCTGCAGGCAGGCGCCTGGATCTCTTCATTCTTCCCCCAGCCCAGGCTCAAGCTCCTCAAGCCCAGGCACCCTTGTCTGCCAGTGTCACAATACCTGAGTTTCCTCATCCTGCCTGGGCCGGGGTGGTGGGAAGTGGTGGACGTCAGGGTGATCGTGACTAGAGAAGAACTTGACCGAGTATGGGTGTGCAGATGGGGTGAGCGTGGAGGACAAATGGCCACGTCGGTGGGGGCGCGTGGTGGGCAGGACACTCGGAAGTGGTTATCCGAGTGGTTAAGTGGATTTGATTAGCCGGTCATTGTGGGCGACCCACTCAGCTCCTCCAGGCTGAGTTTCATTATTTAGAAAATGGAAACTGCCACCTACCCAAGGGCAGTCATGAATCTTAAAGGTGGCGATGCATGTGCAGCTCTCAGCACAGTGCCTGGTATATATAGCACCGCAGCTGTTGCTCTCGGCGGTCTGGAAGGCCCGCACCCTGATGCCGTAGACAGAACTGTGTTTTATGACCCGTGTGCACTGTCCTGGGGATAAGGTTTCCATCAGTTTCTTGGGGCTGATGTGAAGGGCTCTGCTGGGGCTGCCTCTGGGGGTGTCCGGTGGCCTGAAGGCCCCATCCCCTGCAGTGTCCTGTCCTCCATTGCGGGACGGAGGGCCTGTGCACTGTGTGTGTGAGAGATCTTCTCCAGGAGTGCCTGCTGCGTTCTCCACACTGCTTCAACACTTCGCACCAGAACGTGGAGCTGCTGAGCCTTGCCCCCTGGTTCTCACCCTGCTAGTGCCCCTCCCTTCTCTCCTGTGTTTCCTTTAAAAACAACTCATCTGAAGAAGAAAGCAAGGAGTTGGGAGGGCTGGGTACCCACCCTGGCTCTGGGCGACCTGCAGGGAGCCACTGACCCTCTCTGAGCCTGACTCCGTAGCTGTACAATGAGGGAGCTGGGAGTCACTGGGTTATTTACCCATTTGTGGATTTAGCACATACTCGGAGGCCAAGCTCTGTGCTGGCTGCAGGGATGTCAAGATGGATCTGCCCCACCCATGAGCGAAGTTGAGGAGGCTCGGGAAGTGAGAAAGGCCAGAGAAGTGTGCAACAGGGGCGCTTCCAGTGCTAAGAGGAGGCAGAGACGGCTGAGGACAGCTGAGCCAGTGGACCGCAGGCAGGGAAAGACGAGGAAGGGCGTTCCGGGCAGCAGGAACAAAGTACAAAGGTGTGGCAGAGCACGGTGTGTTGGGCACAGGACACAGGCTGCCCAGCAGTCGGCCCTTGGCCAACAGAGAAACTGAGTCCGTGTCTCCGCAGGCTCCATCTACGAGATCTCTGGGAATGAGTGCTGCCTCTCCACAGGGGACCTGATCAAGGTTACCCAGGTTCACCTCCAGAAGGTGGTCTGCGAGAACCCGGGCACGGGTCAGACCATGGAGCTCGCCCCCAACTTCCAGGGTAAGGTGGGCCCCTCCGCCTCCCCACATGCCCTGACACCCCCCACCCCCCTGTGGGCCACTTGTGGGCTTGCCAGCCCCAACACTCACTCCCACCCCTCTGGGTTTGCACTTGAGGCTCTGACATCCGCCACCACCCAGCCTCAAGGCTGGGGATGTCCTCAGAGTGGTCTGACAATGCCCTGAGCCTGATGCGGTCACCCCCTCTCCCTGTCCGTCTCTCTGATCACATCTGCCTCTGTTCCAGATCTTTGTCTGGGTGCCTGTCTCTGTGTTTGTTCACACATTCACTCAGCAAACATCTGCAGACACCCATGTGTGCCAAGCCCTGAGGGGCTGGACTGTGGAGGGGGCGGCTCAGGATGAACCAGGCGCAGCCCTCTCCAGTGGGGAGCTTCCAGGCTGGCAGCGAGAGAGCAACAGTAGAGGCAGGCATGAGCTTTAGACATGGCTCTGGGCAAGAGGAACCTGCCCCAGCAGTCTGTGAAGGCTTCCTGGAGGAGGCAGCTCGAGTCAGGGGAAAGATCCCAGCTAGAAGGAGTAGTGTGTACACATTTGGTGCTCATGAAACCTCAAGGAGCTCAGTTATCACAGGAGGTGGCCCACGGGCCTGGATCCTGAAGCCAGCAGCCTGCATGTGAACCCCAGCTCCTCTGCGGGCTACTAGCTGTGGCCTTGGGCAAGTTCCTGGGACCTCTCTGGGCCTCAGCTTCCTCCTCTCTAATGGCCCGAGTTAGGCTTGATGTGAGGAGTAAATGAGTTAGACGGGGGCTGGGGTGAAGCAGGTGCACTCTGAGGCTCTGAGGACTGCCTTTTTTTTGATAATTTTTTTTTGTTTTTGAGACAGAGTCTCACTCTGTTGCTTGGCCTAGAGTGCCATGGCATCAGCCTAGCTCATAGCAACCTCAAATTCCTGGGCTCAAGTGACCCTCCTGCCTCAGCCTCCTGAGTAGCTGGGACTACAGGCAGGTGCCACCACGCCCGGCTAATTTTTCTATTTTTAGTAGAAACGGAGTCTCACTCTTGCTCAGGCTGGTTGCAAACTGCTGAGCTCAGGCGATCCTCCGGCCTCGGCCTCCCAGAGTGCTAGGATTGCAGGCGTGAGCCACCGCGCCCAGCCCCAGTGAGGGTTTTTAACAGGGAAGTGATGTATTTTGTATTTTGAGGTTTTTCTTTTTTTTGAAATAATCAAATTTACAGAAGACTTGCTCGAACTTCTGTACTTCCTTTATCCAGATGCATCAGTTGTTAAACATTTGTTACGTTTGTTCTCCCTCTCCCTCTCTACACACATATGTATATATGAATATATTGCTATATGTGTATATATGGATATATTTTTTACCGAATCATTTGAGAGTAAATTGGAGACATCATACCCCTTTACAACTAAATATAAATCCTAAATACTCTAGTGTGTATCTCCTAAAAGCAAGGACAGTCACTCACAAAACTGTAGTTCAATAATCCAATTCAGGAAATTTAATTTTGGTACAATACTATTGTGTAATCCGCACCTTATATTTGAATTTCACCCACTGTCCTAATGTCCTTTGTAGTAGTTTTCTCCTCAATCCAGAATCCAGTCCCAGATCACACATCATATTCAGTTGTCCTATTTCTTTCACCTACTTCAGGCTGGAACGGTTGTTCAGCCTTTCTTTGTCTTGACCTTTTGGAGAGTCCAGACCAGTTTTTGCAGAACTTTCCTCAGTCTGGGTTTGTGAATGTTTCCTTGATGAGATTCAGGTTGTGGGTTTGGGGCAGGAAAAGTGGAAGCAGCTGGGCAGCCAGTGTTGGCGGAGGGATGCAGGGGTGAGGTGGGTAGTCAGAGGTTGCTTCGGTCAGTAGCTCCTGGGATTCTAATTTGGGAGAGACGGGGCGCAGCCCCAGGGTGGGGACGACAGGTTCTGGATGCGTGGGACTGGAGCTGTGGCGAGGCCTCTAGAGGGAATGGTAAACGGATGACGTCAGAGGCAGCCGGAGGTCGGGAGGTAGGAAATGTGCGGGTCAGGTGTGCCTGTTGGGTTATGTAGCCCTCTCCTGTCCTCCGTGTTTCTGTCAACAGTCCCTACCCACCCCCTGCTCCTCACTGTCCATTCACGCACCATCACCTTCTGTCCTCTGTCCCCCAGCCCCGAGGTGCAGATGTCCGGATGTAAGCCCGCCCTTGACACCGGTCCCTGGGGACCCTGGCTGGGTTATCGGCAGGGCCAGCCCGGGGCCTGGACCCAGCCAAGGCCTGCCCCACCCTGATACCCACGGTGACTCTCCCACCCTCTGCTGTCCCCCACAGGCTACTTCACTGCCCTCACCAGCCCCCAGAGCTACGGAACCCTGGAGGAGCTGGTCTCTGCCGCAACTTGGAGCTCCAAGCGGCTGCCCATTTACTTCATGTCGACACACAGGATCATCACGGAGGCCAGGGTGGTGACGGAGGACCAGCTCCTCATTTTCGAGGCTGTGGAAATGCACCTCAGGACCCGCTGTGCCCGCTGTGTCCTGGGATCCGGGGACCAGCAAGTCGTCCTCCACCTGCCCCTATCGCAGAAGGGGCCCTTCTGGACGTGGAAGCCCAGTGCCCCTCACACCCTGCTCCAGGTCCTGCAGGACCCAGCTCTGGAGGACCTCGTCCTCACCTGTCCCACCCTACCCTGGCATCTCCTGGTCCTGAGGCCCCAGTATGAGATCCAAGCCATCATGCACAGTGAGTTGCCTGGGCAGGTGGGCGGGGCTGGTGGGGGGGAAAGAGGGGCACCCAGGGAGTTGCTGGGATGGAAAACACGCCCATCCCCGTGGATAGCCTCGGAATTCCAGGTGGCTTGCCAGTATATACACTGAAGTTATTATTTTTTTTTTTCTTTTTCCTGACACCTCTGTGACAGGATGAGTTATTTTTCTTGCTGCTCAAATGATCTCAGCTTTGGCTAGTGGGAGACTCCTTTTCAAGTTGGTTCCTGAATCATTTTGACCTACCTGTGTGGTCTTGAGCGGATTTTCTTGCTCATGAGTATGATATGTTTCAGGCTCCTCTTGAACGTTTCCTCCCCAGGAACTTAGCTCTTTCCAGGGAGCTCTGGACCATTTTAGTGGGAAATGGTAGTGAGAGACTACAATCTAGGGGGCCAGAGGTTTTAATGGTGGGCAGGGCTTTGGAGGCTGCCCTGGACAATGGGGCAGTACAGGTATCCGTACACCGCTTGGAAGACAAAAGCAGGACAGCGTAAGGACCCCCATGTGCCCAGCTACTAGCTTCAGCCAATCATCAGCTTAGTTGGCACAGAGCAAAATTTCCAACAATGTGAACTGAGAGAAGTCACCATCCTCAGTGTTCTCATCTGTAAAATGGGGGACTATTCCCTGCCCTGCCTTCCATGTGGTGTGGATCAAACCACACAGTGGATGGGTCAGTTCTCCTTGCCGTCTTACCGAGCCACCTCCTGAGCTGCTACTCAGGATACTTATCAATGCCCAGAGAGGAAATAAGCTGGCCAAGGTCACTTAGTGTTTTTCTTAATTTGATTTTATCTCTGTATTTAAATCCAGAAAGCATTTGGAAAGGCAGCTAGTAAAATTACATTCAAATTTAAATTAAAATTTAAAAAGTGGTTGAACTGATTGGATGTTTGATATTAAGGAATTATCAAATAATTATTTAGATGCAGTAAGAGCATTGTAGTTATTCTTTTAAAAATTTTTATAATACATTATCCCCTCTTTTAGCAATCCACACTGTAATAGTCACACGTGATTATTCCGCGTCAGAACAATCCCGTGGAGGGGAGGGGCTGGAGGTGCGGATGAAAGGACGCGGGCCACGAGTTAGGCGTCGCAGCTGGGCGATGGGCGCATGCCAGTGCATTATACTGTTCTGTTTTATAAATGTTTAAAAACATTTTTTTAAAAAGGTTGAAGGGCCAGGCGAGGTGGCTCATGCCTGTAATCCTAGCACTCTGGGAGGCTGAGGCGGGCGGATCGTTTGAGCTCATGAGTTCGAGACCAGCTTGAGCAAGAGCGAGACGCCATCTCTACTAAAAATAGAAAAATTAGCCGGGTGTCATGGCGTGCACCTGCAGTCCCAGATGCTTGGGAGGCTGAGGCAGGAGGATGGCTTGAGGCCAGAGTTGGAGGTTGCAGTGAGCTACGGTGACGCCACCGCACTCTACCCAGGGTGACAGAGTGAGATTGTGTCTCAAAAAAAAAAAGGTTGAAGGAAAAGAATGGGTGAGGAATCTGGTACAGTAGGAAAATGCTGGTAGGAAAGAAAAGGTGAAAAAGGAAAGAAGTCGGTAAGCCCAGACCGAGGCTCTCTGCTTGGGGTGGGCGGCCCCCGCTGGGGGGCAGTGGGCCACCCCTGAACGGCTCCCCTCCACAGTGCGCAGGACCATCGTCAGGATCCCCTCCACCCTGGAGGTTGACGTGGAGGATGTCACTGCCTCCTCCCAGCACATCCACTTCATCAAGCCGCTGCTGCTGAGCGAGGTCCTGGCCCAGGGAGGCCCCTTCCCCCTGTCCGTGGAGATCCTGGAAGCTCCAGAGGGGCCCCCCATCTTCCTCGGCCCGTGGGCGAGGTCCTTGCGCAAAGGCCAGAGGCTTTGCATCCACGGGCTGGCCTCACCACCCTGGCGGCTCCTGGCCTCAAGCAAGGGCCGGAAGGTGCCCAGACACTTCATGGTCTCCGGGGCCTACCAGGGCAAGCTGCGGCGGCGGCCGAGGGAGTTCCCCACGGTCTATGACCTCCTGGGTGCTTTCCAGCCAGGCCGGCCGCTCCGGGTGGTGGCCACAAAGGACTGTGAGGGTGAGACGGAGGAGAGTCCTGGGTTCATGTCTCTGTCTGTGGGTGACCGGCTGGAGGTGTTGGAGTCTGGCCAGACCTACGGGGCCCAAGGCGAGGACACAGATGTCTTGGTATGTCAGCGACTGAGTGACCAGACTGGGGAGGAAGAGTGTGAAGAGGAGGCCGAGCGCCAAGAGCAGATCCTGCTGCCCCTCTACTTCCCTGGCAGCTTTGTGGAGGAGATGAACGACAGCCGGCGCTACAGCCTGGCAGATCTGACTGCGCAGTTCTCGCTGCCTTGTGAGGTCAAGGTGGTGGCCAAGGACACCAGCCACCCCACTGACCCCCTGGCCTCCTTCCTGGGCCTGCAGCTGGAGGAGAAGATCACAGAACCCTTCCTGGTGGTGAGCCTGGACTCCAAGCCTGGCGCGTGCTTTGAGATCCCTCCCCGGTGGCTGGACCTGACTGTTGTGGAGGTTGAGGGGCAGCCAGGCTGCCCAGCTGGGGCCCTTCCTGTGGCCACCGTGGAGGAGCTGACGGACGCCTTCTACTATCGTCTTCGGAAGTTACCAGCCTGTGGGATCCAAGCCCCCCCGCCCAGACCCCCCAAAAGTCAGGGCCTCAGCAGGCACAGGAAACAGAGCAGCGAGGACAGAGGCGCCAAGGTACCATATAACGGAAGTGGGCAGGGAGGGGCCACCTGTCGGGATCATTGTCTCTGTCTGTCATGTTTCTCTTGCCATCGGGTGGAGCTTGCAGTTTATTAACTCGCACGCTTTGCACCCGTTACTCTTACTTGATTGTCACGATCCTGAGGTTGGTGTGATTATCCCTATTTTATGACTGAGAAAAGAGGACTCAGAGACCTTGAGACTCGCCCGAGGTCCCAGTTAGTAAGTGGGAGGCCTGAACTTGAGCGTAAATGTTCCAGGTTTGTGTGCTCTTCCTCTCTGCTACTCCTGCTGTCACTCCTGAGTTCAAGCTGCATCATTTTTCACCCGAACTGCCTCTTAGAGCTGTCAGAACAGCCTCCTAAATCCTTCCCTGGTCACTGATGGCCTTGGCTCCATCATCTAGAACCTTCTGTCGCTCCCCATTGCTGAAGGATAATGCAAACCCCCTAACGGGCATCCAAGGTTCTTTATAAGCTGACTCCAGTCTCACCTTCCAGGCCCATCTCCCGCCACCCATTCTGCGGTCCCTGCTGCAGCCAGAGAAGCTCCGGCAGCTCCCCGAGGGAGCCGGGACCTGCGCTGACCAGGCCTTCTGCCAGCAATGTCCTTCCTCCTGCAGGCCCACGGGCTGGGGGAGGCTCGGATTCCAGGACCGCAAGGACGGTCCTGTCCCTCTTCTGTACTTACTTCTACTGCACATTGCCATTTGCAGTTAGTCTTGTCATTTGAGTGGTTTTCTCTGGTTAGAAAGAGAGTTCTGTAGGGGCAGGGCCTCGCCTGCTCCAACGCCCGTGAGACCTGCTGAAGGGACCAGGGGGGATCACGGACGAGGGGGAGAGCAGCTTACGTCCCGCCTGTTCGCTCGCTCTGCAGCCTGTGCAAGCAGCTCCCTCACTGAGCACCTGCGTTCTCTCCAGTAAACCTGAGATGGCGCCACTAACAGTGCTCTTCCCTTAGCTGCGTCCTGTCGGGTGCTCGCTCTGTGGCAGGCCCTGACACGCACTGTCCCACCAGCTCTCACAACACCTCTGAGGTAGACACCGATATTCTCTTTTTACAGTTGAGAAAACAAGAGGCTCAGAGAGGTGAAGTGGTTTAACCGAGATCACGTGGCCAGCACGTGGCGGGGCTGGGATTTGAAATCGGGTCTGACCACACAGGCCGAGCGCCTGACTGCTGTGCTCTGCTGAGCGTGGGAGGGGACGCGCTGGATAAAAAGTACTTCGGAAACTGCAACACACATACTGTTCTGGGATCTCGAGTGACTCATATTTAGTATGTGTGGGTAGGTGGCAGGATGCTGTGGAAGCTGAAGGATGAACCCTGAGCGGTCTCAGCCCGGAAGGGGCTCCCGTGTGCGTCGGGAGTGGGGCCGTCGTTTCCTGACAGAAGCTAGAGTGGGACATCTGGAACACGGGCTGGTCACGGCACTGGGAAGGGCACAGCACAAGGGATTGAGAGGCCTCAGCCCGAGTCTCAGCTGCTGAGGGAGGGACTTCAGGCCCAGTCACTGCTGTTGCCCCTGAACCAGTAACTTTTCCTCTCTGGGCCACAGTATCCTCCGCTGCTGACCGGGCAGTGGGGCCGTCTGCTCTGCACGGCATGGCCTGGTGCAGACACCACTGGCTTTAGGGCTCTCAGACATGGTTCTGGGTCCAAACTTTGCATCCCCTGCGTGAGGTTTGGCGAGGCACACTCTTCATACATAAATGGGGGATGGAAACAGCTACGTGCAGGGTCCCCGAGGATTGAATGAGCATACAGCATCCGGCCACGGTAGGGATTCAGTAACAGTCCTCTTCCTCCTGGGTCCCCGCTCAGCTCTGGTGCTGCCATGAGGCTTTGCGACTGGTTTCCGAGGTGTCTCCACGTTGCCTTTTCCCCTTCGGCAAGAGAATTAAAGGACGCTGACCAAGCCCCTCAGTGGAGAATCCCAGGGACACCTGTCTCCAACCCCCAACCCTATCCTCACCTCCTACCCGGACCCTCTTCTCCCTTGCCTGGAATATTTCATGTGCTTCTAGCAAAAATACCTGGGTCCTGAGAGGCCCTGCCCTGAAAAGGAAGTAGAGAGGGAAGCAGAGGAAGTGACATTTCAAGTGAATTACATTTCACGGACTGTACGTCCCCATGTCTTGGGACCCTGCTGACTTCTGCTCTTTTTCTCCCAAAGTCTTCTCAAGTCTTAGAACTGCAGGAACCCCCTCTGCTGCCCAAACCCAAGGCGAAGACCTTGCCAGAGTTCACCAAGGACAGCTTGAGTACGTACAGCAAGATTTCTGCCAACAAGGGCCGCAGGCCCACCAAGTCCAAAACGCGGGATGCAGGTGAGTCCTTGCTGGCCCCTGCCCTCCCTTGGCCTTGCTTCTCCCCTCCCACCTGGCTCCTCTGCTGCTGCTTTTGCCTCTGATGGCCCTGCCCATGGGCAGACCCCTCTGTGGTCCCAGTCTGAAGGACAGGCCCATACAGGCTGGCCTCAGGTAGAAAGGTCCCTACTGTCTCTCTCCCATGGGCTCCAGAGCCCTGGCAAGGAAAATGAGTTCAGTCCCCAACACACTACCCTCCCTGCAGTATACAGGACAAAGAAATGGTTACAAAGTGTTGAAACAACAAATAGTGGTTTCTGGGCTAGCAAAGACCTTAGAACATCCAGGCCAATTCCTTCCTTATACAGGTGAAGAAACTATACCCTAAAGAGAGGAAGGAACTTGCCTAAGCCAAAGATCCTCATTGACTTTTTGTCTGTTTGTTTTTGTAGAGATTGGGTCTTGCCGTATTGCCCAGCCTGGTCACAGACTCCTGGCCTCAAGCTATCCTCCTGCCTCAGCCTCCCAAAGTGCTGGGATTACAGGTGCAAGCCACTGCGCCCAGGCTCTCATTGACTCTTTTGCAGACGAGGATGAACACGATTATGAAGAAGTACTTGAGCACTTTCAGAAAACCCTCTAGGTGCTGGAGGAACCATGCTTCCTAACTGCTGCTTCTCAGGGAATCTGACACACCAGCCAACCCTTACAAGCCTCTAAAAGACCCTGGACAAGGTCTTGCAGAAATCAGACTGCAGACAGGGAATGGCTTTGTGGGGACTGATTTGAAATGGGATGGCTTCCTTTGGGTTCTAGACTGAGGGCTGGCTTATCTGGGCCTGGCACGCCCTCATCCTGACCTTTGGTATCCAGAGGAGCGAGCTACGTTCCACTCAATTCTGCACCCTGACCAGTGGTCCCATTGGCTGGTGCAGAGAGGAATCGAAGAGGCCACCAACCTTGATGATGGCAGCACAGTGCCAACTACTTCTCGGTAAAGGGGATTCAGTCCTGATCATACTGCACTGACATTCTTTTTAAAATGTTTGCCACCCACCTTTCCCTCCCTTGTGCTCCCGCCCGCCAGGCTTTAAGCACCTGGGGGACCAGAACTGTGTCTTCCTCATCTCTGTAGCACTTAGCATGTGGGGGCTGAATGAATGAATGTGGAAACCTCGCTTCAGGAGCAGAATATTAGGACCTTGCCCCCCAAAAGCTGGTAGTGAAATGAGGGGATCCAGTTCAAGATCTTTATGGAGATCTGAGGCTGTGAAAAACTGGCAGGTTTCATCGGGTGGTGCTAAGATATTGTCAAGAGTTGTGATTATACAAGATTACTTCATTCTGAAACCACAGAATAAAAATGACATCACCGGGTGTAGTAGTGTGTACCTGCAGTCTTGGCTACCTGGGAGGTTGAGGTGGGAGGATGGCTTGAGCCCAGGAGTTTAAGACCAGCCTGGACATCACCTCAAAAAATTAAAATAAATAGGAGTGTGTTGCTTAGTTCCCAGATATTTAGGAGTTTTCCAGATATTAAAAAAAAAAGAAAATATGAGCTTCCATATGAATAATAATAGATATGATTTATTATGTTCTGCCTGTGTGCCAGACCCTTTACAAACCATATCCAAATCTTCAACTTCCTGGGATAGACAATGGGCTGATTTTAAAGACTAGGAAACAGCTGGGTGAGGGGGCTCACGCCTGTGATCCTAGCATTCTGGGAGGCCGACATGGGAGGATCACTTGAGCTCAGGAGTTTGAGACCAGCATGAGCAAGAGCAAGACTCTGTCTCTGCTAAAAATAGAAAAATTAGCTGGGCATGGTGGTGCGCACCTGTAGTCCCAGCTACTTGGGAGGCTGAGGCAGAAGGATCGCTTGAGCCCAGGAGTTTGAGGTTGCTGTGAGCTGGGCTGACGCCACGGCACTCACTCTAGCCCGGGCAAAAGAGTGAGACTCTGTCTCAAGAAAAAAAAAAAAAGATTGGGAAATAGGCCGAGTGGTCATGGGCCTCAAGAGGCCATCTAGCAGTGAAGGGCAAGGACTTGGAAAGCATGAGACTGGGTGAGGATCCCAGCTCGCCACCCTCCTGCTGGGACTATGAGCAAGTTATTTTAACCTCTCTAAGCTTCAGTTTCTTGACATGTCAAATGAAACTAGAAAGTTATCTACCTCACAAGATTGTTTTAAAGATCAAATGAGATCATCTTTGTAACGCATTTAGCACAGTGCCTGGCACATAGTAAACACTCAATAAACATGTTAGTATCATTATTGACCAAGATCATGTAGCTGTAGCCTAAACTCTTTCCACACCTCTACAATGTCTCCTGGTCATGGAATTCATCCCAGTGTTTAAAAACTTACCAGTTTCCTAGACTGTAGAGACAGAGTATACTCACTGGAGAACTTCACGGTCTAGTTTAGTGGCAATTAGAGAACAGATACAGCTTTTTGTCCTTGTAGAGACTAACTCAGCTTACAAGGTCAGTCCAGGCCTGTTCAGTGGTGAGGCAAGACTATGGGCTGCATTTCCTGGAAGTGGTGGGGCTTTGGTTTGTGGGTGATACAGTCATAGAACTAAGCACCACAGTCAGCAGAGAATATAGGAGACAGATAAAAAGATGATCTAAGTCTCCAGCTGAGGTGGGAGCTGAAAGAGGGTCAGATCTCCAGATTTCCAGTTTCTAGGCACTGCACCTGGGTGTGTCCTTCCTTTGTCTAACATCTCTCTGGGCTGCCTGACCCACTGCATTCCCCAGTCCTTGCGGCCTCCACACTCCAGCATGGAGTTCTCCAGGTGACTACTGAGTGGTCCTACAGACTGCTGGGCCAGGCTCCAGTATCTGGCACCCCATCCTCACCTGTGCACCAGTTCCCACACCCTCCTCCAGAGAGCTCAATCCACACTGCACGGGAGGACCGTGAGAAAGACAGTAGTGTAAGGAGAAGGAACGAGCAAGAGAGTGAAGGTTCCTTCCTCCTTGACACAGGACAAGGGGCCAGGCCGATGTGCAAAAGGCCACTAATTTTCACTTCCACATTTGTATTTAATCTTGCCCCAAAACTGAGCAAGAGGATTAACAAAGCCACAAACAGGGGCAGAAGAGAGGGTACCAGTTCCTGCAAAGTGGGCTTTCTGAGTAGCCAAGTGCTGCAGTGAGAAGCAGCAATTTTAGAGCCGCAAAAGCTGGGCTGAAAGGAAAACATGTTTGAAAACCACCACTGTGAATGTTTTCTTGTCAGAGCAATGGGGGTTGGCAGGAAATGGACCAGAGTCGGACACTAGCCTCAGGGTGCTTTTGTTTTGCTTTACCCACAGAATAGGCCACTGGGCGGTGGGGAGGGTGATGTAACAGGGCTTGGGATTCCCCCGAGCAGTGGGCTCCAAAATAAGCAGCACAGACTCCTGGGAGTACACAAGATGATCCACTGGGAAACAGAAAATAATTATTAGTACATCCCTTCGTTCTTATTTTTAATATTCTTTTTCATTTCTATTTTAGAATGTTTTAAAATGTATTTAACATATTAATAGAGTAATAGATATAAATAATTGCTAAACAAATGAATATAAACTGGGAAGCATGCTCAAAAATTTTTTAGCAGTGAATTTTGCATTTTCCCTAACTGCATTTTTAAAAACAAATCTTACTAATCCACACCAGACACTAATTCTTACTGGCCTTTCTCTAGTTAAACCCGATGAGTACTATTTCCCAGGGAGCCTCCTTTCCCAGCTGTGTACCTAGAGAAAGATTCTCCTACGAGCAGGCTGAATCTATTGCTGGGCTATTGGTACTGGAGGTTCCTAAGGACTTGGATCATACTGCTGTCTCAACAATGTGCCGAGAGAACACTACATGTGACACAGCAGGCAACCACACAAATGCCCAGGATGCAAGTTCCTTCAACCCAGAGCAGCAGGTCCATGAAGGCTGTAGCTTCACCCTGCGGAGGAGCGGCCTGCAGGCCTTCCTGCCCATGCTCAGAAATCACACAGCTCCCGCCAGACCACGGACATGCCAAGATGGCCAGGAATCCAGCATCACCGAACAGCTGCTCTGTGCTATTGTGAATGCTGAACTAGCAAGCCCTGTGCTGCCAATCTCTTTTTGTGCTTGATATACCCAGTGCCTGACCAATGGGTTGACATGGTATGTATCCAACATACACCGAATTAACAAGAAGTTTGTGGCCAGGCCCAGTGGCTTACACCTGTAATTCTAGCACTCAAGGAGGCCAAGGTGGGAGAATCGCTTGAGGTCAGGAGTTTGAGACCAGCCTTAGCAAGAGGGAGACCCCGTCTCTACTAAACATAGAAAGAAATTAGCTTGACAACTAAAAAAATATATAAAGATTAGCTGGGCATGGTGGCACATGCCTGTAGTCCCAGGAGGCAGGAGGATCACTTGAGCCCAGGAGTTTGAGGTTGCTGTGAGCTAGGCTGACGCCATGGCACTCTAGCCCAGGCAACAAAGTGAGACTGTTTAAAAAAAAAAAAAAAAACCGAGCAGTTTTTAATTGCTAAGTCATCATCTGATTCTATTAAAAGAAAAAAGACTTCCACCTAAAACTACTGCTATTACTTTGCCCATTTGAGAGCACCAGCCTGATAACTAGAAAGAGAAGTCCACCACCCATAAAAGTATCCTATCATGCATTCCTAATTCAAATATATATGATTTTACCTGTTTTTAGCCACTGTTCTTTCTTTGAGGAAATAACCAAAAATGGACACACTTGCAAATGAACATACTGGTTGACTGAGTTTTAAGCATCTGCATAGCTCCCCAGATGGAACTACTCTGTATGTATAGAAAACAGCCAGATATTGTTCACTGTTAGCAACCAAGAGGGTGGAGCCTTCACACAGGTGCAAAATCCCATTTAGAGAAACACTAAAAACAGATATAGAATTCTTTTGCATGTTACACTTCATTAACTTCATAACTGGTTCGTCCATTCAAAATGTAGCTTACTTTCTGGAGTTGTCAAAAACGTCTCTGGGGCCAGGCATGGTGGCTCACATCTGTAATCCTACCACTTTGGGAGGCTTAAGCGGGAGGAGTGCTTGAGGCCAGGAGTTCGAGACCAGCCTGAGTAACACAGTGAGATCCCATCTCTACAAAAAATAGAAAAATTGCCCGGGCAGTGTCTCATGCCTGTAATCCTAGTACTCTGGGAGGCTGAGGTGGGAGGATTGCTTGAGCTCAGGAGTTCCAGACCAGCCTGAGCAAGAGTGAGACCCCATCTCTACTAAAAACAGAAAAAATTAGCCAGGTGTGGTGGCACGTGCCTGTAGTCCCAGCTACTCGAGACGCTAAGGCAGAACAATCACTTGAGCCCATGAGCCCATCACGTTGAGGTGAGCCACTGCACTCTAGCCTGGGCAACAGAGTGAGACTTGGTCTCAAAAAGAACTAAAAAAAAAAGAAAAGAAAAGAAAAAAAAAAAACCATCTCTGAAATAGTTTCCTCTCTCATAAGAAACAGAGCTAATCAAGTTGGCCAGAAAATAGCCACAGGCTTTTGGAAAGTCTCCTCTTAGGTCAAATGGTAGATATTCAATTCAATTACATGATCACACACTGCTAAAGATTCAACATAAAGGTCCATTTTATAATCCTTATTAATGGCAATACTAGATCTAAATACTTTACAGACTTTATTCAATCTTCACAATAAACCTGAGGAAATAACACTGTTTTCTCTTCATAAATGAGGAAATTGAGGCTCTCAGAGATCACGTGGGCTGCTCCAGATCCTAACTAAAAAGTGGGAGAGCCAGGATTTGAATCCAAGGTTCACCACCCCACACTGCCTCAGATGATATAATTACACCAGTATAGAAAGAAAGATGAGAACATTTTCACAACTGCAATAGAACTGTTTTATTAAACATATGAATGTACATACTTTGTACAAAATTCAGTAATACTTCCTCTTCTCCTCTGCCCCTGGAGGCCACCACTCCAGAACCTCGTGTTCATATAAACATGCTGTCATGACAAGCCCGTGAAGGAAAGTGCAATTCTGAAAATAATGCCACATAACCAAAATGGGAAACAAAAACAGGCAGAGGCCAGTGGGTTTCTTGGCTAGTGCTCTACCCACAGGCCTGAGTCCTACTTATCTTCTTTCAGCAGAAAACATTTTAGGAATAGAAACTCCCGAGCATTATTTGAGTATTCTCTCGATAGCATCCTTCTTCCAATTCCTTCTACCCTGATGTTGTAACTAGCTTATTTTTAACTTCTTCAAGAAATTCCACCCTGGATTATATCCCTGTCAGTTGCCCATAGCCCTTTGAGCTTCAAACAAACAACACTACAGAAGAGCAGTAAGTTTCAAAAGGATGTCAGCTGAGGCCTTTTACAGATGAAACCTGCTTCCCAGAAGTCACCTGGTCAAATATATATGCACAGCTGGAGACAACAGACTGAAAATAGGTCCAGCTGGAAAACAGGTACCCAATTTAGATCCAGTTATTCTGCATCTGTGGATTTGAAGTGATCATCATCCACGGTAGAATAGATGTGCCCCTCGTTGCTCAGAAAATCCACAGCTTGCCTGGAAAGAAAGAAAAAAAAAGTTCATTTTCAAACCAATGCAAAAGGAAACTGCCTTCTGGATATGGCCAAATATGCAAACTTCATTTATCTCCAACCCTTATATCTTAGCTAAGAAGAATTCACAACCATTTTGCTCGTAGAAGGCTCTTTCAGGGAGAAATGCCAGTAAAACTGCAAAACCGAGATTATCCATGGAGATAATGGCTATTAGGACTGCCTTGGATCCTTCTCCCAAATTGCATAAAGGAAATAAAATAGGGCCTCACTTAAACACCAGCCCTAAGCAGAGCAAGACAAGGATCTGAAGCCACAGTCAAGCTTGCACATAAAATCTCCTGGTATAAACAGCTGTCTTTAAAAGGACCCCCCTTTCCAGCCACACACTGAAATCCCCTTGCTCTCTGTCTGAGAAGTAAAGGAAAGGTCTTTCCAGAAACAATATGACACCTTGAAACCCTCCAAGGCCCCCAGGGTGAGTGCCAGTAACATATTTAATAACAGCCACAATCTATAGAGCACCTACAAAGTGACAGCGACTCTGTACCCCTTCATCGCAGCAACTCTGAGATAAGAATTTTTATCCTTATTTCGCAGGACAGGAAATGGAATTAGACCTGAGCATTTCTTTTCTAGAATATCAATTGATTTATAGTAGCAAATAACTATCACAAGCACCATAATACTGAGTTTGTTTGATTAGTCCATTACACTGGAATCAGGAGGCTGCCTGTCTTCGAAGGACTCACAATAAGGGTGCTGGAAGGACTGACTGTTTAATGGCTTCGGGTCCAGATAGCCTAATATACTTATTTCCACAGTGGGTACAGTAACACCAGTGGGATGTACACCTGAGGACCAGGAGCTAAGGACTTCACTTCTCCAAACTAAATCCCATGAGGTATCAGATCAATTATTGCTTAGAATTATATACCCCTGTACATAATGGGCCTTAGTATTTGTTGAATGAACAAATGAATGAGTGATGTGATGGGTAATGCCATGTCTGTGAGTCCTTTTATATATATTTATTTAAAAAAATTATTAGTTTGTTTGTTTGTTTCTTTCTTTTTTTTGAGACAGAGTCTTGCTCTATTGCCCTGGCTAGAGTGTAGTGGTGTCATCATAGCTCACTGTAGCCTCCAACTCCTGGGCTCAAACGATCCTCCTGCCTCAGCCTCCTGAGTTGCTGGGACTACAGGCACATGCCACGATGGCCGGCTAATTTTTCTATTTTTAGTAGAGACAGGGTCTCACTCTTGCTCAGGCTCATCTCAAACTCCTGAGCTCAAGCAATCCTCCCACCTCAGCTTCCAAGAGTGCTAGAATTATAGGTGTGAGCCACCCCGCCTGGCCTCCTTTTTTTATTTTTCCACATCTGAACAACTTCCTTTTTGTCAATAAGGCTGCAGTTAACTTTTTTACTTTTTAAACTCACTTCTCACCCTGGTACAATTCTAGAGTCCCAGCTCACAGAAATCAAATACTCACTTGATTGAGGGTACAGACATATGTTTGAGCTGGTTCTTGAGATCATGAAAGTTCAATCCTTCAGGTCTTGGGCAAGCTTTAATCAAATTCAGCACCTGAAGATTCAAATCAGAAAGTTTTTAGCAACGACTTTGAATCAGCTCTCCCTTATAAACCTGAGTCCCTTTATAAGAAAGACATGAGCCAGGTAGTTAGCCTCACATCATTAAGGAAGTAATCAAATTTAAGATTGTCTGTTTCACATTTGTGCAGCCACTCAGGTGGAGTTTACCTGGTTTTGGGCCACAGTGAGGCCATTTGCTGGCATGAAGCTAGTCCCACCAAAGCTCCCTGCTTCACTCATTCCTGGGTTGCTGATAGGTGCTCTCCCTGCTGGGGGCTGAATTAAGAAATAAATTCACAACATTAGAACATCCACCAAGTTAAATACAGTCTTTACTATTTCAAATAGCTTATTAATAAGCAGCTTCTAAGAAAAAATTTAAGCAAAGTTTTCCCAATAACTGCTTGCACTGGAAAAGACAGCTATTACCCAATGAGTATTTCATAGGAAGGTAAAGTAACCCTCTGAAGCACATAATATCAAAAAGAGAGAAAGATACTCCTGGTTCCTCTTCTTTGTGATGTGAGAGGAACCAGAGGAAAGGCATTGAGAAGAAAATTACTCAGAGGTCTGCTATAATGGTATCAGGCATTCACGGATTGTCAACTAGGCATGAAGCACGAATGGGAGAGAAAAGGCGATACAGTCATCATCCTCTCTTTCCTTCTTTTTTACCACCAAATTTCTTAAAATAGTCACTTTGTTTTCATTTCCTTTCTCCTTAGTCACCCCTCAGTCCACCACTATTTGGATTCTCCCCAAATACACCTTTGAAACTGTTCTCACCAAAGTCACCAATGACTTTTCAACCAACTATCCAAAAGTCTCTTTCAGCCCTCATAATACTTGACCCTCCCAGAGGCAGACAATGCTGACCACGCTCCTCTTGAAATGCGTTCCTCCTTAGGCTTCTTGACAGGGTACTCTTCCGGTTCTCCACTTACCTCTCAGCTAAACCTTCTCAGTATCCCTCTTCTACCTGTCTACCAAAAGGCTGACCGTGCCCCCAGATTTCATCCCAGACCTCCTCCTAGACCACAGATCCTCACTGCTGGCCATCTAACTGGATACCTCCACATAAATACTTCAGACACTTCAAAACAAAATAAAATTCCTGACCTTCCTCTCCAAACCTGCTTGCCCTGTTATATTCCATCTCAGTTAGTAAACTCAAACCCAGTCATGTGTGAGCCTCTGTTCACTCACCTTCTACAGCCTGTCACACCACAGCTTATTACTCCTCAGCATAGCTCAAGTCGATCCTCACCACCCCTGGTCCCAATTGGTTCCTCAGCCTCTAGCCTCTTACACTCCAATCAACCCTCCCATAGCTACAAGTCATAACCTTCCCTACTCGAGCCACTCTTCTGCTTAAAAGCTTTCAAGTGGCTCCCTCTGCCTGTGAAAATAATATAAAACTAGATGTTCAAGACCTACCCCATCTAGAAGTCAAAGTCAAAATCCGTATTTTATTCTTGACCACTCCTTCTCAACATACTTTACTCCCCAGCTGCACTGGGATTTCTTGCCAACCTAAACAAGTCTTTGATCTGAACATGTGGTTCCCTGTCTGGAATACTCCCCTTGTCTGCCTGATAAACACTCTTCTCATCCTTCAAAGGCCAACTTAATTGCCACTGCCTTTGTAAAGCCTTCCCTGCCATTCCCCAAGCCAAGTTAGTCATATTCTTCCTTCCTGGCTCTCGCAGCATATATGGCCCAGTCCCTATCACTGCGCCCAGCACACTGTGTGTCACTTTCCCACACAAGCCCCTTCATCTCTGCACAGTGCCTGGTGGACAGTATGTGCTGGCAGTGTTTCGTCTATTGACCCTATAAATAAGAATGACCGAAGATCAAATATATTAAGTACACACAGCAGATATAAGAGCACTGTGGAAGCTCATTAGGACAAATCCTGTCCAGTCGGGAGATTCATTCATTCAATAAATGTTCATTAAATGCCTGCTTTGAGGTAATAAAAAAACCAAAACTCAATCATGGTCCCTTATTTTCAAGCTAGATGTCTTTACATTGCTTGCTGGTTTAACAGAAGTCTTATATTTTAAGATCCAGTAATACTGAACTGTATGCTCATAGTTTCCTACCCCAATACCTTTGCTGAAATGACCTCACCTCCTGCTTCAGGTGACCCCAGCTCATGTATCTTTTAATACTTGGTTTAAGCATCACCTCCTCCAGGGGGCCTTTCTCAATGTCCAGGTCAGGATTGGAGATCCTTCTCTGTGGTTCCACGGCATCCTGCACTTGCCACTATCGCTGCTTTCACTGCATAAGTGATCTGAACCCCCACTGCTGAACCCCCACTGCAATGCAATCCTCTTTGAGGGAAAGGATTACCTCATTCACTCCTCAATATAACTATCTATACTTACAGTTTCTACTCCCCTTAGCCACCATTCTCACTTTAAAACCATTTCTATCATATAATATTTGACACATACATATTATGAAGCATAGTAATAAAATAAACACTTTAAACTTTTTACCTATTCCCATTTCCCACATCCTCTACAGAAGCCTCTCTTTTGAAGATTCTCATTTCCAAATCCAACAGCAGATCTCTTTTAACATCTTACTTGACCTAAGGCAGCATCCTACAATCTATCTGCAATCTCTCCTAGAAATACTCTTTTCAGAATATTCTAAAGAATTACATTTCACGGTTTTCCTCCTGCCTAATTGGCAACTTCTTTGCCTTTCACTGGCTCCTTTTCTGCTTCAAGGCTTCTAAAGGTGAGTGTGTCCCAGAGGTCAGGTCTCTGCCCTCTTAACTCCCCTAGGCTTTAAATACTGCCTATATAACGACTCCCAAAGTTCCACCTCTAGCCCTGACCGCTCCCTTGCCTCCTAGTCTTATATATTCAATTGTCCACTCCATTCTCCACTTGATATCTAACTGGCATCTCATACCTGCTAAGTGTAAAACAGAACTCTGGATTTTACCTTCCAAAGAGTCATTTTTGAACTCTCTCTTTTCTTCATATCCTGTATCTAATGGACTAAGAACTCCTGTTAGCTCTACCTTCAAAATATATAGGAATCCCAGCCGGGTGCAATGGCTCACGCCTGTAATCCTAGCACTATGGGAGGCTGAGGCAGGAGGATCACTTGAGCTCAGGAGTTTGAGACCAGCCTGAACAAGAGTGAAGACCCCATCTCTACTAAAAATAGAAAAATTAGCCAGGCGTCATAGCATGCACCTGTAGTCTCAGCTACTTAGGCTGAGGCAAGAGGATTGCTTGAGCCCAGGAGTTTGAGGTTGCTGTGAGTTAGGGTGATGCCACAGCAGTCTAGCCTGGGCAACAGAACAAGACTC